AAATGCGTTTTTGATTGAGAAGTGTTACTTTAAAGTGGTGGGAATACTGATTAGCCTAATCCAATATTACTTCAGACACACCAGGATGCGGGCTTTTAAATGCACCACCTACAAAACCCCCAGTCGTTGAGAAATGACTACTTAGTTAGGATGCATTTTCCCTATTGATTTCCGATGCCCTTATAAAATTGGTATCTATTAGAAAACATGCATAAAAATGTTCTCTCGGGTACTCGTTTGACATCAAGTCGCACCTTCTTAAAAATGTATACTTAAACAAAGGGTAGCTTTTGGTTATAAAAGTTTTTTTCAATAAGTATCTTTGTAAGGCCGCGCAATGTCAATTCAAATAGCATCGCATTTGTAACTTTATCGATTCTCCTCTTTAATTATATACTGCAATCCACATTTATTGCAAACATTTGAGAGCTCTATATGACCTCTTCTTAATGAGATAGGGATGTCTATTATGCTCCTTACACGCAAGGTACACAGCTTGTTATCTAGGAACCCTAGACGCGGATGCAACGGCAGATCGGGCTCAAGATTATTCTGGAATTAAAAAGTTTTTGATATCGTAATATACCCTCTCTTTGAGTTCAAAATTTGAAGGTGTGGGTCGCTACCAAATGAACCCAAGAAAGAATAATTTTCTGTGTTTTTTTAAATAAAATATACCCGAAACATGCAAACTACTTGAGTAGTCATTCTTCTCTAAGTGAAGCATTTGCAGATGACCGAAAGCAAGTATCTTCAAAGGCACGCATCCTGCTGTGTCTGAAATATTATGAGATTATACCGCATGATAACCAGTATTACAAGCACACCCAAGTAATACTTCTTACTCGCGAACATGTTTCAGAATGTTGGTTGTCATTTCTTGAACTCGGTCACAGACAGTAGGTGAGAATACAATGATTATTTGTATGGGATTTAAGTGTACTATAAAGATATGAGGAAATATTTTTAATGTTTAAGGCATTAACATTCCGGTAATTAAATTCTTAATGATAGGTAGGCGCTCACCGATTTCTTACGGGACTCACTCGTCCCGTCGTGCATTGAGGTTCCATTTTAAGCCCCGCCAGCAAACCGCACAGCGGCTATCGACCTAAGCAAAAGGGCATTACTGACGAAGACTAGGGAGACTAAAACAGCCATTTCTGGCGTATTAACCGTCGTCAGTCAGCCATACCCAACTGCAGGTGTTGCGGCACCCGAAGCTCAAATTCGCGACCTGTTGGCTAGAAGTCCAACGTTCTAACCACTGCGCTACGGGCTTCTTGTCTTTCCGGTTTCATTCGAGAATATTAAAAATGGCAGCTAGGCGCTAGTCGATTATCATTATTGTTGATTTTGCACACGAGTCACTTGGCGCCAGATGTGAAAACCGCATTGTGCAGAAAACGTAATCAGGTATCCGTGTTAGCGGCCCGGTGCCCGCCTGCTCTAAAAACTGATAATTAGATAGGAAGCTCTTTTCCTTCGTCTCACTGTCCTTCCCACAATTCTCTTCCCTCATCGCAATTTGCCTGACAATCCCTGATCGCCAACTTGCTTACTCATCTTGCATTACCAGGAAGCACATTCACTGGCACCCCTTCTAGTTATTTCACACCACTCGTGTTCGAGGACCTACCCTAAGTTGCCTTTCTCTCTCCCCTCTCATATAGCCAAAGAATATGGTCTATTTCTACCCCACGAAGACAGCAAGAAGGGTCTCTGGCTGGACCCCTCTCGCAGCCTGGAACACTACATTCTTCGAAACGGGGTAAGTCGGCCGCGTCTTGAAACGGACCAGCTCCACACAAAGTATTAATGTAAAGTATGTAATGTAAAGTATTAGT